GAGTGTTGGTGACGGCACTGAGAAGAGTTCCGTACTTTCCATCGGCAGCAGCAAGATCAATGATAGAGGCAGCAGGTTCTTCCTTTCCAGTGTCAGCAGTGACAGGGGCGATGGCGGCAGCGGCGAAAAAGAGGGCAGAGATGAACTTCATTTTTGATGTTGTTGTTGGATGTTGAAACGACGAGTTTGGATTTTGTGACAGGACTCTGATCTGTAATTGATTCGACTCAGTCTTGATGGCCGAATTTCAAACGCCGATATCGAATTGAATTTTGTCAGTTCAACCATGTGCTGGCGGGTCCGGTGTCACCGTTCAACTGAAACAGTTGCTTTCGAACGACAAAGAGAGCGCGAAAACGGGCGATGACTCAGCGCGAACTTCGCCTCTGTTCAAATCTAGTTCTTATCACGATCGACGAACTCTCGGTGGCCCTAATTAGAATAATCCTTCGTACCAACAGCGTACAAATGTGGATAGTCTGCCATCTCCGTCCCCAAAATCCCTGTTTGAAATCGAGCGTTTTGCCTTGGTCTGGCACGTGTGAGGCGCTTACGCGATCAACAATAGACATAGGTAAACCTCGCAAAAACGTCAGCTTCTCACATTTCGTAAACGAGTTTTGGCCATTGGATGACATCAGACATCAGACATCACTACAAGTACCATAGTGTGCGATACTGTACACATGATGATTCGATGCTGAGAACGGCAAGAATATTGGTACCTTTCTCTTGGCCGTGATCATGGACTAATTTTGGCTTTACTGGATGCATATATTATATGCCTTCCTTGTACGTTGGGATGTTGGAGACGTCATACTTCTTTGATCTTTACGGAGGAGGTGCAAACTACACAACAGTACTTCTTTTCGGCCAAAATTGATCCAATCCATTCCCTGCTAGCACGATGACCATACACAGATACAGATACAGCAGCTTCCTGCGATTGTGGATCCACCACCGTGTATTATCGATCGATCATGAGACACAACAACAGCATTATCAACAACAAGACAATCCACCTTCATCAACACCGTAGTATCAGCACTTTCTTCTGAATGAATCAATCGACAGCGATGGAAGCCTCTGGAAACCTTTAGCAATAATGAAATGCTCGATCAAACGGAACTGTTTACTGGTCGCTCGCGAAATGCCAAAGTTGAGATTTGAGATACGCCTGTTCTGTCGTCCATATCGAAACAACCAGTTGTGAGAAATAATCTTTTCGATTCATTTATGCAAGCATGCATGCATGCATGCATAAAACGAATAGGCACACCCTCTTGGCTTCCTTGCTCTTGGGGGCGTATATATGATACGGAAAAGAGTCCAGAGAAGAGCAAGAGCAAACAAGGAAATTTTAATTCACCGAATCGGGAATGATAAGTCCTAATGCCACCAGGGCAGGAGGCTAAGTTGTACAATAAATTGTTGTTCAAGAAACGAAAATGTACAGTAGCGACCGTCAATATTTGTAAAGTAGGCTAGCGGTTTTAGTTCTGTAATATATACAACAGATTTCGCGCCATTCAAAACAATGAGAATGAGGTGTGTTCCACATCAACGTGTGGTCGTGGTGCAGCTTTCTGAAATAGAAGGAAGCTTATTGTCTGGATCCCTTGCCAGAAGATCCCTTGCCGGATGACCCCTTGCCAGATTTAGCAGAAGGAGAAGTCATGCCCTTTCCTGATGATCCTTTGCCCGATTTTGCAGAAGTCGATCCACCTTTTCCGGATGATCCTTTGCCAGACTTGGCACTGGTGGTCATTCCACCCTTTCCAGATGATGCACCCTTGCCAGATGATCCTTTACCCGATTTAGCACTAGAGGTCATTCCACCTTTTCCAGAGGATCCTTTGCCTGATTTAGCTGAAGCAGAGCCACCTTTTCCAGAAGATCCCTTACCGGATTTAGCACTAGTGGCCATTCCACCCTTTCCAGAAGATCCCTTACCGGATTTAGCAGAAGTAGAGCCACCTTTTCCGGATGATCCTTTACCGGATTTAGCAGAAGTCGATCCACCCTTTCCGGATGATCCTTTACCAGACTTGGACGACCCCCCCTTGCCCGAGGAGGTCATTCCCTTGGACCCGCCTTTGCCCGATTTGGAAGAACTTTTGCCACCTTTGCCAGCCTTCTTGGAAGATTTAGAGGAGGACGTCTTCTTTGATGTTTTTCCCTTGCCGGGATGGCTAGCAGGAGTTCCAGCAACAGGCATGCTAACGGGTGTGCCTACTGGAATACTGACGGGTGCACTGACTGGTACGCCAACTGGTGAGCTAATGGGTGTCCCAATTGGAGCAGGAGCTGGACATGGTGCGAAGCTTCCTGGAAGAATGACCTTGTCGATCCCATGAATGACACCCTCTTCACCAATAATATCGGGTTGGATGACAGTAGCGTCGTTGACCATCACGCTTCCATTGGCAGTCACCATGACACGAATTTGATTGCCAGCAAGAGTCATGAGTTCAATACATCCAACATCAATAATGTTTTGCGCAGTAAGGACGCCTGAAACGACATGTCCCGCAAGAACTCCAGCAATTTGAGCCTCGGTCAATCCAGCAACAGTGTTGGCAATAGCAGCGAAAGCGGAATCGGTAGGACCAAAGATGGCTGTGGGTTGTTGTTAAAGAAAGCAGACACTAGTTAGAAAATGACCAAAAGATCTTCAGCATACTTTTATCATTTGTTACTCACTGACGGGAAAGTTCGTGGCAATGGCGTTTAGAACTCCTGGGGTGTTGGTGACAGCATTGAGAAGAGTTCCATATTTTCCATCGGCAGCGGCCAAGTTGAGGATAGACACAGGTTCGACCTTTCCAGTATCGGCGGCAATAGGGGCGATAGAGGCGGCGAAGAAGAGAGCAGTACGGAATTTCATTTTAATGTCTTTTTGTTAATGTAGGTGATTGATGATTACACCGTATTATGAATAATGTGATCTATTTTCAATTTTGGCATGAATTGTGGAAGGTATTATTTTGCAACGAGAAAACCTGGTGTCGAGTCCGCCGGTATTTTTGTTACTTATGCGAAAACTACTGGTATTTTTATTACTTATGAACACTTCCGTTTCTGCGACACCATTCAGATGTAACGTTCCAGTCCTAACGGTATTTCAACGAGTGCTCTACCGGTAGAGGTGCGGGGATTGCGGATTCACATATCTTCCGGTTCACGATACAGTCAAAATCAAACTCGCCGTATAGATTTGCGTAGAATCCAAGTTTCTGGTAGGATGTGTCATGAATCATGCCTCTAGAATAGTACCTTTAAATTTTGCGCGCACCTTCGTAGAAATTGTACCAAATGGAAGAAACACAAAACTTCCATTTCCATCGTCAACCTCTCCTGGAGGCTCGTTGGCATCAACAAAACGTTGTTGTGCAAGGTTTTTTGAATATTCTCGTTCATTAAGCATTGAAGAAGCCCAAAATCGAAAAAATCCCAGCGCAACGAAAGATCGCACCATTGAAATCTACCGAAAATGGCCGATGGATGTGATTGCGACATGATGGTGGTGAGCTTTGACAGACTTGCAGTCATCGTCCGCCCAGAGGATATGGATGCAGAGCTAACAATATCTTTGTGTCATTCCTATTTATCTTCTTTGTTCGAAGTGATCTGAGCGCATTGGTTTCTTTGGTCTCCAAAATGCCCACTGAAGCACACAAACATTTTCTTGACAAATGTTTTAATAAAGTTTTGGACTCTTTAGGAAGTGGAAAGGAAAAGATTGCTTCTCTTGTTATCGCAAAGGTGTTGCCACCATCTAATGGTTGCTATCATGGTCCGTGCAAAACAATTTTCTACAGAGTCCATCAAGTGGCAAAACTCGTCAAAAACAGATGAATTGCATGCCATGGGTCCCACAAGAAAAGAGAACTGAATCAGGAGCTATGGCAAGCTCCTCGGATAAAAATACTTTGTATGGCCTCAATCATACTACAATCAACCATAATTCGTCCATCTGGTTCTGAAGCAAGGGTGGTCCTTTGGGGTCCATAATGGGCTCCACATGCAACGAAAGTCTGTCTCCGAATGGTGGTAGGCTTTGTTGGTATCTATACTATGTTGGGGCCTTGCTGGGTTGCTTCATGTACTTTGGTTGCAGAGATTTTTGGATTTTCATCTTTTCTCTTTTGGTTTGCCGTCGTTCGGCAGGTCCCAAAGGCCGCTCATGGCCGCCATGGTAAGGGACAGCCACTCAACAATGCACCAGTCTCTCACATATCTCATATCTTTCCTATTACCGTTCCGGTACGTATCGAAAGAAGAACATAATGGTATACCGGTAGACTTTCTTGCTATGCGTCAAGCAACCCGTTCAATGATTCAATGATATGCATATGAGTTCTTGGTGTAATGACAATCCAAGAGGCTCTAGAGGTGAAATTATGCTGGTGAATTGTAATCTCCGCCAATAGACTATAGTGCAGCCTACAGTACATCATCGAATCAGCAAGAACTGGAGCGAAGATGTTTTCTCGTGACGAAATGTTTGTGGTGTCTAAAGTCAAGCTATGTCCACAGTGACGGCACAAATCTGATATCTATAATTCAAGTCGATCATGAAGGGAAGGATTATTGCTCCCGTCGAAAAAAAGGGGACCTGTCAATGCTTTCTCTTCGCTGTCCTGCTATCCCACACGATTGAGTCCAAGGAACACATGATGCACATTCAACTCAGTTGCTAGAGGCGAAGCACTATGCGGACGCTTCTCGTTTTTTATGAATGAATACTTGAAGCACCATGAAAATAAATACAATCAGCAAACAATTTGGTTTCATGCTCATGCCCGATCAAAACTGTCCATTCGGGACCTCGTCGAAAGTCCGCATAGCATTATTGAGTTGAGTCACTCCGTCAATTATAATCATGATATTTTATTAGGTTTAAAAACTATCATAAATACTAAATATGCAATGATGGGAAATGTGAAATACAGTAGTTCTGTGCTGGTTAGCAGACCACCAACTTATTGTCACCCCATTTTCTTTTCATGAAGATACGACAATTCGTACTAGGACCTAAAACTTGTTGCAATTAGCACAACTCACGTCTAATCACGTCTGGAGGAGGAAGACTTCTTGCTGCTGCTGCTGCCGCCGGAGGAGGAGCCGGACTTCTTGGAAGAGTAAGAGTCGGAGGAGGAGTACAACTCACGTCTGGAGGAAGAGGACTTCTTGCTGCTGCTGCTGCCTCCTTTTCCGGAGGAGGAGCCCTTTCCAGAGGAGGAGCCCTTGCCGGAGGAAGAGGAGGAGGAGCCCAACTCACGTCTGGACGAAGAAGACTTCTTGCTGCTGCTGCTGCTGCCTCCTTTTCCGGAGGAGGAGCCCTTTCCAGAGGAGGAGCCCTTGCCGGAAGAGGAGGAGGAGGAGCCCAACTCACGTCTGGACGAAGAAGACTTCTTGCTGCTGCTGCTGCCTCCTTTGCCGGAGGAGGAGCCCTTTCCAGAGGAGGAGCCCTTTCCGGACTTCTTGGAAGAAGACGACATGTGGCTGGAGCTATCCAGTTTGCGAAGGTTTCCACTAGCTCTGTCCTCGTCTATCAAAATGAAAGCGAAAAGCAAGAGGGGTGGTTAGCTCAATGACTTGACTGTTGCATTGCATTCGTCATACGTTCGCCAATTGGTGCTCATCGGCATCGGTACAAGGAGAATATACTTACTGGCGAGGAGGTCGGTGGTTTCACCTTCGATAGGAGTGTTGTCTGCCGCAGCAAAAGCAATCATGGCAGCAATGGTAAGCAAAAGAGTGGAGAGGAACTTCATTTTTCTTCGATTAAGTTTTCAGTAAGTTGGATAAATGTGATTCAATTTACACAGGAAGTAAGATTGTGAGAAGGTGAGAGATGGAAGCTGACAACCAGAGAAGAATTTCTCAGAAAAAGCATCATTCTCAGATGCCGAAAGATGCCGACAATGCCAAGCATGTCAGCAAAAGATCCAATCCTCTACACTATGTAAAATCCAGGGGTCGTACTGCTCTTATTGCTGCACATAAGATAGACAACGATTCGTTCGACGAATGGAAAGGTAGGTAGGTAGGAAGGTACTGTATTTGTACGGGAAAAAGTGTTCCTTGCAATGTGGAATCACACAATATCTATGCGCGTGTCCAGATGTCATGGGCGAAGACAATGGCTGGCCATGCGACGACGCGATTCTTGTCATTCCTTTTAAATGGACCTATTCGTGGGACCAAAGGAAAGTTAGGCAGGTAGGAATGTACTGTACTTGCACGGGTACCAGCGTTCCATGCAATGTACCGTTACTCTTGTGGACACCAACAATATCTCTGCACGTGTGCACTTATAGACCAAGATGAGTACCTTGTTTGCGTTCTGTCGACATTCGTTGAACCAAGGAAAAGGTAGGTAGGTATTCAAGTACCGTACTTCTACGGGTAGGAGCGTTCAATGCAACGCAATGCATACCAACCATGCAATGCACACTAACACTATCTATGCGCGTGGTCAAGATATCATGGGCAAGATGAGCATGCGATGACGCGATTTTTGTTATTGGTCTGCATACTGTAGACACAGTATTCGTTGGACCAGAAGGGAAAGTAGGTATGTAAGTACTGTACTTCTACGGGTAGCGGCGTTCCATGCAATGTAGAATCAACAATATCTATGCGCGTGTATATACAGTACCGGTACACACATATCATGGACAAGATCACGATGGCAGCTACTGCCTGGCCGGTCAGCATACGATGACATGATTGTTCTTGTCATTACAGTACCGGTACCGGTAGGTACTCTACAAAAATATCCTTCATTCGTGCTGGGACCACCAGCCAAGGGAAAGGTTCCTAAAGGTACTGTACTTGTACTTGTACTGGTAGTACCGTTCCGTGCATGCACTGCAAAGAATCGTCATCAACATCCATCGATCGTGAAGTTGAAAGTGCAAGTACCGATACCAGGTACCTTGTACCAGTACCTGGTACTCCGAACTACATTGAACATAATGTTGAATGTATCTTTGTCGTCTGCCTGTCACCACAATATATTCTCAGGGGCTGTCATAAAGGGGATACGGCAAGGGGGGTGTGCAACCCAAACGCATGACATTCCACCGAAAACAACAAACGGTATACACATACAAATACTAGTAGATCTGACGATAATAAATAGTGCTGAAGAGGTGATGGGGATTGTGGATTCACATCCTTTCGTGTACTGTAACTACATCAAAAGAAGAGCAGAATGGTACACTTTCTTGCTATGCGTCAAGCGACCGGTTGAATGATTCAATGCTATGCAGCATATGCCTCGCTTCTTGGAGGTATGACAATCCAAGAGGCTTTCGCGGTGCAATCATGCTGATGAATCGTATAGTCTCGGCCTACTAAGGCTTCATCATGCATTCTACATCGAATCAGCAACATTATTGGAGCGAAGATGTTTTCTTCTGACGAGACGCTTCCGGTGTCTGAATAAGTCAAGCTACGTCCACAATGACAGTACAAAAGTCGAATATGTCCTCAATGCTTTCTCTTTGCTGTTCTGCTATCCCAGCAAACGATTGAGTCAGCAAGAAGGAACACGCCATCCATCTTCAATTCAGTTGCTAGAGGCGAAGAACCATGCGGACGTTTACCATTTTTATGATTGAATACTTGTAGCACCGCGAATGAAATAACAACCAAATTGGTTTCGTATTTTATAACATCCATGCCCGCC